TTCACCAAGAGCCAGTCTGGAACACATAATTCAGTACTGCGGTAACTTTCCACTGGCAGGCAAATGTAATTAAGGAATTTTAAAGTCCCCAATTTTTCAGCTTGGTGAAAAATAACATAAGGCCGGGAGAGATACTTTTAGAGAGGGAAAGAATGCATGACTTTGGTTCCTAAGGCATTTACAATGGCCCAGGGGATTTGTGACAGTTATCCAAAGGGAACAGTGAAAAGCAGGGAGAGAAAAGATTCAGATACCTGATTTGGATTGCCTCATCCTGTGGGGCGCAGGGGGCAAGAGGGGGGAACTTTCACTGTGTAGATGATAACAAAGGGCCAAGCATCAAGGAACTGTGGTTTTACAAACAACTCTTCTCCCCATTCACCCCCCTCCAGGGGGCTTGGCCCATTGTGCTGGCTCCTAACTATTCAAGACATTCCCCTCCTCTTTTTCTTCTGGGGTCCCCCTTCTCCTCTCCCTCCCCTTTCTTCTCCTCTTCCTCTAGTTTTTCCTCCTCTTGTCTTTCTTCCTCTGGGCTTTCACTCCTCTCTTGGCAGAGCTCTGTATCAGATCAGATGCCATGGGGAGATAGGAAGAGCATGGCAGACCAAGTTCCGGGCCCTGGGTAGCCGATGGGAGTGTGTCTGCTAACACCTCCCTCTCTCTGCCCCCAAACAGGAAGAAAGCACAAATAAATACACATGACGGGTATACAAAACAAAGCAAAAAAAAAGGCCTGGGGAAGTAGAAAGAACCTGGAGCTAGAAGTATGGACATGAGTTCCAGACCCAGCTCTTTACCTTGGTGGGTCCCGCTTTCCCAATTTGTAAATTGAGGAGATTGGATTAGGGGACATTTAAAGTCCCTTCCAGGCTGTAGGAAAACAGGCCCATTGGTGATGGAGTGGACATTGGTTTACTCACTCTGAAAAACAATTTAGATGATGTCCCAAAAGTCACTAAACTGGGCATGTCCATTGACCTAATGATACCACTACTGGGCCTATACCCCAAAGAGATCAAGGAAAGATGAAAAGGACTGATGTGTATGTACAAAAATATTTACAGGTGGTCTTTTCATAGTAACTAAAAACTGGGAAACTAAGGAAAGGCCCATCTATTGGGGAATGACCATGTTGTGGTATATGAATATAATGGAATATTATTGTGTCATAAGAACTGGTGAATCTGGCCTCAAGACATTTACTAGCTGCGTGATCCTGGGCAAGTCACTTAATCCTGTTTGCCAAATGAGCTGGAGAAGGAAATGGCAGCCCATTCCAGTATCTCCGCCAAGAGATCCCCAAATGGGGTCATGAAGAGTTGGACATGATGGAAAAACAACTGACCTAAGAATTCTGAAATGGACCATTTGAGAGAAAACTGGGAAGAATCATAGAAACAGAAAAATAATTTATATGATGACATTACAGAAAAAAAAAACACTTTTGAAAGATCTTTTAGAACTCTCATCAATGCAATTATGCATCACAAGTCCAAAGGACTTGATAAATCACACCCAAGGAGACGATGAACTCAAAATGCAGACTGAGACACACATTTTTGGATATGGTCAATGAGGGAATTTGTTTTGCTGGATTATGTACATTTGTTACGAGGATTTTAATCTTTTTAATTATTCAATTGGCAGGAACCATGAGAGGGAGAAATAATAAATGCCTGCAAAAAACAAATAAACAAGGTCCTTTCTAGATCTACCATTCTGGGATTTAAAAACAGTGTATCATGCCAAAAATATTTCTATTTGGCTTTGAAATGTTTTTGTAGCGAGGTACTATGGCAAAGGGGGAAAGGCAACTGGAAACTTAGATTCAGAAGATATGGCTTCCAATCTTGCCTTAGATTTAGCTGTGTGACCTATGATAAAACCTTGCCTCTAGATTAGAGGAAGTTTCAGTCTCCCATCTATAAAATGGTTGTAATAATCTTTGTGTTACCCACCTCACAGGTTTTTGGGAGGAAAGTACTTTGTAAACCTTCAAATGTTCTCTATGTATGAGCTATTATTATTATTAGGCATATACTACAAACAGGCATGCCCATAAAACCTTACTCTGATAGCCCATAAAAACAGGAGATGATGGAGCTCTCTGAGATCGATAAGGCTCATCTGTGGCAGGCTTCCTCTATACTTGGGCATATGCCATTTTCCTGATCTTTTTGGAAACTTCCAAACACCATGCTTGTATTCCCAAGTCGATTCTGTTGGGGCCTTCAATACCTATGAGATCAGAGATAGGGAAACCAATCGTACACATCTGACTGAGAACCTGTCCCTTCCCTATAAAACCCTTGACCTTCTGTTGCCTTGGTGAGCTGCCCTGGTGTGAAGGTGATTGTAACGAAGGGGTTAGAAAAAGGATGGTGCCCAAATCCTAAGGCACCCTTCTTTCTCCTGCCATGGTAATGACCATTGTACCTAAGGTTGCCAGTTGTATTCTCCCGATGTCTTTGTTCCCTGATACTTCCTACCCCAGTTTTGTTTTAGGGCCTGTAACTCACCTGGGGGCTGTGGCTTTTTTTTTTAATGTAATTATATATTTTATTTTGTGCAATTTAAAAATATGATTTGGAGAAGTCTTTAGGCTTCTAAAAACTGCCTAAAAGGGGCAATGTCTTTGACACACACAAAAAATTAAGAAGTCTTATTCTAGGCATTACTTCTCTGCCTAATTCTTTTGTAAAATGGTCTCTAAGCCCACAAATTGTTGATAAGGACAGGGTACTTACTTTAGTTCCTTTGGTAGGAGCCTGAAGTCTTAGCCTCTTCAGCAGTATCATAATTATTGCCTGACATTTTGATGGTTTCCTGAAACTTAAAATGTGGGACATAATAACTCACCCCTTTATTACTGGGTCCCAGCCAGAATAATGAGTCTTGGAGAAAGAGGATAACAATAAATCAGAGCACTAGATTAAGGAGGCATCTTTCTTAATAAATACTTGTTCACTGGCTTTTTTTGTGTGTGTTAATAGGGTTGGCCATCCTTGATTAAAGATTAGTTTTTCTCCGAAAAGTGGGCAACCCACTCCTTGCATACAAAGCTTTGGACATAGGGGTGAAGTTATTTCCAACAATATGAGGCTATTTGTTGCTGCTCATCCTTTGTTCTCAGAAGAGGCCCAATGACATCAGGAGGGTAACGTCTTGACTAGCAACTTAGTTGGATTTAAGTGAGGCAGGGCTGTGCAAAGTCATCAGCCTCAGTCTCTCCTCTAGGGTTATGGGAATCTAGTGGCAAGACATAGATCAGGAAGACTGGTGATGGCCCCAGATGCAGTGGAAGACCTTAGCCTTTTTAAAAGCTGAGGTCTTTCCCAGACCAGGCTGTGAAGACCCTAGCAAGAAACAAAGTAATGATACATGGACAGGTCAACAAAAACATGAGGGGCGGGCCTGGTTTGTTTCCCCAGGTAAAATTTTAGTTCCCAAGAGCTGGTATTATGTTTCATATTTCATCTGTGTTATCTGCCAAAATCCTACTCTGATACTTTATTGTGGCCTGAGGTGACCTTGAGTTTTCTGAGGTTATGCCATTGAAGGGCAAGCTCTGACAAAGCCCTACCAAGCTGGCAAAACTAAGAGCATGGGCCTGGTGACGAAATGCATGTTGGTTATCCAAGACCAAGCTAGTCAAGTTTTGAGACGCTCATCCCCAGAGAGTTGGCTAATGCGAGGTGGCTCCCTGTCACCTCCAGGATCAATAATAAATCTGTTTGGCATTCGAAGCCCTTATCAACCTGGCCCCCTCCTACCTTTCAAGTCTTCTTATACCTTACTCTTCTCCTACCTACCCTCTCACCAAGGGCTCTGAGATTCAATGACACTAGCTTCCTTTACTGAACTTCAATCAAAACACTCCATCTCTCAACTCTGGGCATTTCCACTGGAGGTCCCCTATGCCTGGAATTCTCTTCCTCCCCATCTCTACTTTCAGGCTTCCTTGCCTTCCTTCAAATCTCAATTCAAGTCCCACCTCCTATAGGAAGCCTTTCTCAGTCCTGCTGAACCTTAGTGCCTTCCCTCTGAGATTACACCCAATGTATCTTATATATACCTTATTGGTACATCTTTATGTGATCTTCCTCACTAGACGATGAGTTCCCTGAGAGCAGAGTCTGTTTTTTGCCTTTCTTCGTATTCCCATCACTTAGCTCGGTTTCTGGCACACAGTAAGCACTTAATGAATACTCACTGACAATGTGATGGTGGCTGTCTGAATGGAGGGAGTAACTATGTGGATGAAATAGGTATTTGATTCCAGAGAGCACCTAGGTACAGCTTAGAATACAAAGTGGATTTAATAAAATGAATGCTTAATGGGTTGATTGCATTTATTTAATTCCGCTGCTCGTGAAATAGAAATTCTAGGACACTGAGCACAGATTTACACATGAAATTTACAAAACCAATAAAAGTATACATGAAGGGTCTAATTGATATATATTGCTGATTTTTTTACATTTGCATAAAGCTAAACCTGGAAACCTCTATTAGTGGGATATTCTAGCTAAATTTAACCAAGTTCTAAGCACAAAACACTCTCATCCCCCCAATTCTTGAGGTGGAAATCTTCTTAAAAATGTACATGTCCACCTACCTAATGATAACTGCTTATACTTTATGGTTTGCAAAGCTCTTTATGTACCTTGATCCTCACAACAATCCTATGAGATAGGTGCTATTATTATAATCCTCATTTTAAAAGTGAGGAAACTGAGGCTGACAGAGGTTAAAGGACTTTTCCAGGATCACACAGCTAGTAAACATCAGAGGTTGAATTAAAAATTCAGGTCTTCTTGACTCTAAGTCCAAATAGAAAAACACAGTAATCATCCTTTGGTGACCTAGGCTCTCCCAGTACATCCAAGTTATCACCCTGGACATCAATTCTCATTCCACAGGTCTGCCAATTTAGATAATGGAAGAGATTGGGCCAAATGTGTATTGACCCCCAGGATATGCCCTGAAATCTGTTTTGGTTTTTTTTTTTTTGTTACATACCCAATAGGGGTAGGCGGTTTCTTGTCATTTGCCTCTTTTCCCTAAAGATTGAGTGTGAAAAAAGGACATTATTAAGGTTCTGTTAGTTGGGTTTAAGTTAATCAAGATTCTAAAGCTGTATTTTTTGAAAGTCTTAAACAGGGTCAAGCTTAAAAAAAATTTCTTTGGTCTGTTCTCATAATTCTGGGATTTCTAGAAAAAATCTGTGTGTGTGGGTGTATGTTTGTGTGTGTGGACACATTTTCTCTGTCTCCCCAGATCTTGATTTGAGTCCAAAAATATTTAATTTAAAGCATGGAGTTTGCGCCATACAATGCTATGAGTGTGTGCATAATGCACTGAGAACTATCATTTACCATTTGATTCATGATCCTATGTGGTCAGATTCCAAGCTCCTCCATTTCTTTTTTACCCTCTCAAAATCACAGAAGTCACTTCACTGGGAAAATGTTCACGGGAAAGAGACTGTACTAGAAACATATCAATTATGTTCATTTGCACTTGGCCTATAATTATTTAAAACAAAACTCTTTTAGAAATTCAGAATTCAAGGTCTAAATTCCAGACTGAAGATTTAATTAAGTAACCAAAACACTGGATTACATGCCTCACCTCCTAGGGTTGTTGTGAGGATCAAATGAGGTAATTGTAACGTTCCTAGCACGGTGCTCGGCACATAGGAGGCACTACGTAAATATTAGCTGCTATTTTTCTTATTATTACATGATATAGGAGCTGGATTTGCTTTTGGTGGAAAAATTCAATCTCTTAATATTTGCTCAATCCACAGACCTACTGGATGAAAACACTTTTGCCTTTAAGAGAATTTTAAGTTAAAATAGTTAATTATTTAAAGGATTTTAAAGAGATCTATTAATGCAATTGACAAGTATTCTATAATCTGTAATATTATCAAAAAGTTGTAATTTCTCTTTTTAAAAGGCAAAGTCAAGAATTTTTCCTCCTTTAAAATCTTTTATTTAAACTACCCAGAATAAGAAAAAGTGAAAGATGAAGCATGGAAACAAAATAAAAATGATTGTTTACCAAGAATTGCAAATGGTCATTTTCAGAACACACCACAAAGTTCCATTCTCTGTCTCAGGGACTTTGCGTAATTCATAGGGACATGACGGTGGACTGCTCATACTTTTGGCTTATCAAAATAAACCCAAGTGTTCCTTTTCCTAGTCTTCACTAAAAATCGACACATCATCTGACTTTGTGAACCCAAAATAAAAAAAAAAATGTAATCTATTTAGTGGAGGAAGGGAAAAAAGCATTTATATAGTGCCTACTATGTGCCAGGCACTGTACTAAGCACTTTGTAACTTGGGTTCGGCCTCCTTTCCTCATCTGTAAAATGAAGGGTCCTATGAGGCTATGAGTGCTAGCCTTGGATTCAGAAGACCTGGGTTCTAATTATGCCTCAGACACTATTGGCTATATCACTATGGACAAATTGCTGAAACTCTCAGATATCTGTAAGATATGACTATTGGAGATGCTCTAACCACCTTGCAGGTTGCTAGGAAGCGTTATGCAGACCTCAAAGTCATTTATAAATGGAACCTTACTGTTAGTCCAGCTTCACAATCTGTGAAATGCTTCTGATTGATCAAACCCTATCCTAGAGATTTTCCAAGTGTTTGAAGTGTTCCAGAATCAGGTCGAGGCTCACAGTAACATACACACCCCAGACTTGGCTGTGCTGCCATTTACACAGCCTGATAATCTGTTGGGGTCATTGAGTTCTTCAAAGAGTCCTGTTTCTATAATTTCTTCTTGCCAAGCTATAGGAACAGCACCTGTTGCAAATTTTTTAAAGAACTTTCTATCTTTTTCATCAAATTCGACGCCCTTGACCTCAGAGAAATCTTCAATATCAGCGATGTCTTTGGCATACACCACATTGGGGTCCGGCGTGAAGGGGGGTTCGATGAGGCCAGCCTCCAGTCGGGGGAAGTTGATTGTTCTGAAGAAAGTATGTTTCCTGGGATCATCCCCTTCGTCTCTGTAAAGAGAGGAGACAGGCAGCTGAAATTTAACAGGCCAACGCCAAGGAGCAGTTTTGAGAAATCATGCATTCAGTGAGTGATCTGACCCGCCATCAACACGGATTGAGTCTCCCATAACCCAGAGGCTGGAGACAGATCTGCCACCTTGTGTCTGACTGTAAGGGAGTAAGAGAAGCTGAGAACAGACGCCTCTGAGGCAGACACAGCCTTTGTGCACAAACGCCTCAGTGAGTGAAGGGTTAAAAGATGGATGGTAAAAACAATGAATGCCGCCGGGTATATTATTTTTTTTTTCTAAGCAGCAATTCTAGGATGTTGTTTGTGTCTATGATGCATTGCCACAGAAGCAGTGAGTCATGGACAGGCAATTATCATACCCGAGGCTCCAAGCAAGACTGTGGAGCTCCTTGTTCCTCACCATCCTCCTCCTATTCCCAGACCCCGCTAGCTTAGACGCTGGAGGCTGGGGAGTAAACAACGAGATTACTTTCTGCTTTCTTATCTGCTCAGGATGGCACCAGACCATGCAACCAATTATGTTCTTTAGAAGATTTGGGCTATTTAATGACAGAATGGAAACTTGTCTAAAATCTTTTTGGTGCCATTCTCCCTGGAGACTGGGGGAAGAGATAAATGGTCTTTGAAAGTCGTTTTCATCATGGCCACTCAGTTCTGAGTCACCATATCAACAACATTTACTGAATGGAACAAATCAAGTTATTATTATCATCATTTTGGTCTGGGCCTGTGATTTCCTCTGTGCAAAGAACTCTTGCTACGGAAACTTCCTCCACTGATACACATATACATTTCACAGGGTATGGCATAGGAGGCAATTAATAAATGTTTATTGATTGATCACTAGGGCACAGAGAAGTTGACTGATTTACCCAGGATCACAAAGCTGACGTGTTTCAGGAGCAGGATTGAACTGGAGGTCTTCTTAACTGCATGACTGGCCCTCTATTCACCATGCCATTCTTCCTCTTACTAAAAAACTGCTATTATCTGTCGGTCTGTCTGTCTGTCTGTCTGTCTATCTGTTTATGTATCTGTCTATTTATGTCTGTCTATCTGTGTGTTTCTATGTATGTCTCTCTATCTTCATGACGGGGGTGATGATAATGTTTATTATGGGTCTCCTTCTCTCAGACTTAAACTCCAAGGAATGGAATGGTAAAGATTAGAGTAACATACACCCTTCAGACGTTATCTAGTTCACTCTTTCTCAACCACCATGGTGACGGATGATCACCAGGCTCTACTTGAATCCCTGACGGTTCACTGCTCTCCTACACAGCCTGTTCTAAAACTGAGTTCTTACCTCATACCCAGCAAATGGGGAAAGATGATAATATGTAAAGTCAATGCTGGAGGAGCTGTGATAAGGCAGGTATGCTAACGCACTGTTGGTGGGCCTGTGAATGGATCCAAATACTTTGGAAAACAATTTGGAACTACATGAGAAAGTGACTAAACTATTTATACTCCTCCGACCCAATAATACCACTGCTGGACACAGACTTCAAGGAACTCAATCACAGAGAGAAAGGTCTCTTATGGATCCACACCTTTCAGCAGCAGAGGGGCAGCACACTGTAATCAAGGACTAATTTTAGAGTCAGGCAGCCTTGGATTCAGATGCCTCCGAGGACAAGTGCTAGCTGGGCAAGGACCCTGAGCTAGGTTTGGCAGTTAAATGGACCAGTGGAGAAAGTCAGGAAGACCCACATTCAAATTCAACCTTACACACTTACTAGCTGTATGACCCTGGGCAAGTCACTTAGCCTCTGGCTGCCTCAGTTTCCTCAACTGTAAGATAGGGATAATAATAGTACCTACTTCCCAGGGTTGTTGTAGATGAAAAATTGTAAAGAGCTTCGAGGTGCCTGGTATACAGCAAATGCTTAAGAAATGCTTATTTCCTTCCTTCCATCTTACCTCTCTATTTCAGGGCCCCACATAGCAGATGAGACACTAATCTACCTCAGTGGAGAGAATTTCTACTTTGAGAGTTCACTAATGAAATCTCAGGTCCCAACCAAACTCTCTACCCGACACACACATGCTTTAAAGGAAAGGGCTTTAATGGGGCTTTAAGGCAAGCCGTTTGCTGCTCCAGTGGTCATCCACCAGATTGCTTCCTTCTGGATTCTACACTCAGGGCCATCCCAAACGGCTCTTGCAGTATCTACTCAAACACTTCCACTATGGGATGAACCCAAATCAGGAGCTCCCCAGAATGCAATGGTCTAATATTTTGCATATTTTCTTCTAAAACCACCCCTGTTAGTTTCGGCTGAACCAAGAAAGCAGCAGCGTTGCCATCTACTGGCACCTATTAATATGAAGCTCCTCTAGTTTCCACCCCGGAGCTCAGGGTCCTGTACCAAGACCTTCCTTCTGTGGCTCAGGGTGAGCCTCTCAGATGATTTTTGCTTTGCTGCAATTAAAGTGGAGGGTCTTGACTCCTATGGAAACAAGTCAGGGTGTAGACCACAAGGGAGCAATGAATCTACCAGGGGATGGTAGGTCCTCTGGACTCTGGCCAGGGAAAGCCAGCAATACCATTCTGGAGAAGCTGGAGATGACACCCCCCCCCCCACACACACACTGCCTCCTGACTGCAGGAAGGAGCACATTCTTCCAGAGGTCAAAAGTACA